AGTTACTCAAAAACAATTTCATCAAACAATCCCTACACATGACAAAGATATCTAGGGCTAAATACAATAAATAACAACACACTTTCATTTATTTGTGTACTATATCATCTTGCTTCCATTTCTTTCTATTACAACATTTTATTTACAATTACTAAAAAAATTACTACTATTATTTACCAAATTACAGCCCTTTGTAATTTTCGTAGAGAGCAAACTTCAACCTCTATCATATACAACGCAGAAACTGGCCTATGATCAGAAACCCTAATCTCAGCCCTTTTATAGCCCACTTGCTTTATCCCCTTCCCATAACAAAGTATCCGATCACACCTACACCATTAATTTAAACCAATAACATTTAAAAAAAAAATTAACATATTTTCATATTATTCAAAGAAATTAATTATTAAGTTTCTAAATTTTATACCATGCTGGATTCCTCCTACCCCCTTTAGGATCCTCCCCATAATATTTCTCTGAATTTTGCTCGTATTTATAAGTTGGTGGAAAATTCAAATTTCCCTCTTTCCACCCCTCAAATACACCACCTTTTTTTAGCTCCCAACCAAGCTTTCACAAAATAAAATAAAACTTATTTATGGGTCCTAACAATATCGATTTATAAAGTAAATGAAAAAAAAAAAAAAAAAAAAAAATTACTTGATCACTCTCTAGCAACTTGGACAAGTCATTTTTGGAAATTAAGTCACATGTTTCATCGTATGGTAAATTGATACGATAATTAAGATCACCTAACCAAATTATTCGCCTGAAATTACAACAATTTAAAATTTATAAAAAAAAAATCATATTGACGTAATCAAATACGAGTATAATATAATTAGTAATTAATTACTCATGTTCCTTAATGCTCCTTGGAAGTGCGACTTTTGACATGGAATTAAAATTTGTTCTTTTATGTATTTCATCCACGTCAGCATTCCTCTTAATTGCATCAACTTCTCTCTCACCAGATGTTAAGTGAGTGCATACGAAACAAAAGTTCGTTTCATATATAGACATACTAACTGATATCGAACCCTAAAAGAAAAATAATAATAATAACAAATCATTTGAAAATTTTATAAAGGAATTCAGAAAAGAAAAGGAACAATACAAATTACAAACCTTGTTACCTATGTAGCCCATTACACCAACACCAACAGTTGACACGTGTACATTCTTGATGTGTTTCTTCAAGCTTCTACGAACCCAAATAGTAAGAAAAACACCAACCATTTGCTTGCTTATTATTCTAACATATTTTGATCTTTTTTTGTACATTATAGAGTCAAGATCTAGTTTTTCAACCCAATAATTACAATTTTGCCCTACTGGATCATTCTCACACTCTTCATCACTTTCTAGCATAAATTCATCTTCTATATTTGGAGGTTTTTTAAATCTTGATGGAGAAGAAGGGTTGCTATAGGATTTGAATTCAGTCTTTATAGGTTGAATTTTATTAAGAGTGTCACGAATGATGTTTTCCCATATCAAAATTGGATAATTATCTTCAGAACCAAAGATATTGCCAGCGTTTAAAGGTATGATTTCCTGAAAACTGCAAAAAAGGCATTGGATTTCATATACAATCAAAACTCAAAAGTATTGATAAAAGTCAAAGTGATACTTACCCAATTACATATATATCTGCAGGGTATTCAGTATCAAGCCAGTTTTTGATGTTTAAGTCTTCTGGTGGAAGTTCACCTCCAACATTCCAAGTATTAACAGATACTCTAACAGAATTAGAAGTTTTAAGGTGTCAAATTGTCGATAACATGATTAGATAAACAATCTGATGATAGCAGAAGCTATATGAGAGGAAAAGGAGAACCAGATAAAACCTGAGTTCCTTAGTGTCGATATATTGTGTTCTGAATGTCTCTGATTTTCGTCTTCTTGACCTGGGAAAAGCTCCTGATGTCAAAAGAGAAGCAACAAAGACAACAAATTGGAAGATCATAAAGGAAATGGTATCCACGTAGTTAAAATGTAAGTCCTAAAAGCAAAAATGGTATCTCTTTTACCAATTAAATCACTCTGAAAATCATCTCGTTTCTTATCATCGAGTCTGGATTCTTTCGGCCGATAACAAAACGCTTCTGTTAAAAGGAATCGCATCAATCAAACTTCAAACCCTAATTTTCAATTTGTGATAACGATTACGATCAAACTAACCTGTGTCAACGGAATCATGGATGCTGTCATCGGAATCGGCACTGTAATCTGAACAATTATCAGAAATATTGAGCCATTTGCGGACGACTACCCTCGGCCAGAACAACTGGAGACAGGAGTAACCCAGACATTTTTCAACCCAGCCTCTCTGCAGTTCTTCTCAAGTTACACAAAAATCGAAAGAATAACTATACAAGTAAATACAGGAAGATATCATCTACAGCCATCACAGATTAATATACCAAAATCCATCCAACACATCTTATTGCAGATAACGAGTTGTCTATGGATGAAAATCATGATTTATACCGCGATGGCTGTGGTTAAAGGTATAATTACCTCAGGAGATCGATTCCTTGAGCTTTGATGATCATGAAGGATCATGTTTTGATTTGATGAACCTCCAGTTGACGAAATTTTTTGAAATTTGAAGCGTATGAATGACATAAATAATTGATTGGCGTATACCTCCTGAGGGAGTTTGACTAAGCTTATTTGAAAAGGAAAATACCTCTTGAGGCGTTTGACTAAGCTTGTTTAATGTAGAAAATGAGACGTTAGTCTAATGTATTACGAATCTCTTTAATTAGTAGGGTTTGAAAAGAGGCAGTTTCAAAGCCAAACCAAACTGTAAATTGTATTGTTGGGTGCGGTTATCCAATGATTTGATTTTGCGATTTTTAAATGCAGGTTCGGTTTGTATTAGTGTGGTGTCGGTTTTAAACCAAGTCTAAAATTTGGTGGTATTTTTGATGTTTATGGGTGCCTTTTTTTTATACGGTGAAAACAATGAGAATGAATCTTAACTAGCTGTGTGTCTTTGTGTATGAGAGAGAAAGGGAGGGAGGACGACGTGGACAAGAGGTGAAGAGTTGAGGTGGATTTAATTTAACTTTTTTTAATTAAGTAAATGTTACATAGTATATGAAACCGGTAATGATAGATTATAAGGATCAAAAAAACAGGTCACTGACAACTTTATTCATTCATAAAGCACGAAAATAAATTAAGGGACTGAATCAACAAATTCAAAATACATTATTGGGCTAATGTGTCATTTTTCCTATTTAAAATGATAACTTAATTATCTGTAATGTCAGCAGATTCGGGTTAATCAATTAAGACATATTTAGCGTTAAAATTGATTTTTTGATAGAACATTATTTAGGATAAATAATATTAACCAAAGTTATACTGTATGCGACAATGGTTCCATACATATAAAAAACACTAAAATCCGACTTTGTATGAAGAAGTTATGCTTCTTCGAAGTTTCGCGATTAAACTGGCATGACTCTGCGTATCGTAAAAAGTGAATTTTCGATAGATTACTTTTTAACCTAAGTGATATGAACGAACGTCGTAGTATTCGAACAACCGAGAGCATGCATATAGAGAACGTCCAAATCTAACTTCATAAGAGGAAGTTATGATTTTTCGAAGTTTCAGCGCAACATTATATGGCTCAAAAACCGAAGTAGAGATCGGTTGATTGTTAGGAAAAAATAATCTAAAAGAGAGTTGAAGATCTTGTCCATATGGTTCTGTCAATATAAACACATCCGATAACGAATATCATATGAGAAAGTTATGAATTTATAACGGACTTTAACAGTCTAAGCCTGTTAAAAGTATAGCTTTAAAAATAAAGTCAAAATTAGCCAATGGAGTCTAAATAAAAGTTATAGATGTTGTTGAGAGCTTTCCAAGGATATAAAAAATGTCAAAAATGGAGCTCGTATGAAGAAGTTACGTCGTTTTAAAAAATATGAAAAATCGCACGCCGATAACGTGACACCACGAGAGGGCGCCATGTGGCATGGTCTGGAGTCACTTCCTCCGACAGACACATCGAAGTGGCCCTACAATAACACGACATGTGGATTCATAAGAGTGTGACACGTGTCACCTTCTAAAAGGGGCGAGGTGGACGAACGGCAACGTGACACGCGGTCGAAGCCTAATAGAGCCACCCAGGTCCTAGTGTGCGGTGTGCATACCTAGAGTGTGCGGTGTGCAAGGTTTTTCTTACCCATAAATAGTAGCTTTCATATGTGCTTTCACCTCTACACCCCTAGATGCTTTCTCTCTCGAGCGATCTTACCTTTTAAGCCATTTCTCTCTTGTTTCTAACTTGCGATGAAGCCTGTGACACCCCTGAGTACTCATTTGAGTAATAGCCTTTGAGTAGGAGATCCCGATTCAGTATTCCGCCTGCTTAGATTCCGTTTTTCATCAAGAACCTCTGTAAGTTAAGCTATACTTAGTTCATTTTAAGTGTAACTTTTAATTATAATCATAGTCGTTATTATGAATCTATAATTAAGGTTTATTAGTAATTCCAAGTCGTTATACTGATTGATATACTCATGGGAGTGATTTCTAGGTTGGATTTAGTGAGGCGTTGAAAGTGGGATTTCCAGAAAATATATTGTGTATACCAAACGGACCTACCTCCGATATAATCATACCTAGTTATTGCTTATTTTGATCTTGAAGTAGACGTTGGGATTGTTGAGGAATCTAAAACCTTAGAATAATAGTTCCATGAAGTATGAAATTAGACTAAGACTTAGCATTTTATACATCTAGGCCATATGGAAAAAGGTGTAAGGCGAAGATCTGCCCAATTCACCAACCACCAAACACTTTCTCAAGTGAGTACATAGTCCTTTTCATGAACATGATTTATGTAATATCCCAAAAATCAAGGTAAAATTTTTATTTTAAAATCCAACCAAAACCATACTTTTTTACAAAAAAATTGTTCTCAAAAGTGATAATCACAAAATCAGAGTATCCCAAAAATCCAAAATCATAAAAACGGGAAGGATATGCACGGTCACACATTTCCTTTTACCCGATCATCTGAAGTACCTGAAAACATGAAACTGAAAACCGTAAGCTAAATTTCAGTGAGTTTCCAAACCAAAGTACCACCACACAAACACATAACAACATATATACTTGGTCCACAGCTAACATACTGTATTACCCTTGAGTCTACAACATGAGTTTGGCTTGCCTTCTAGCCCACAACTCATGTCTCGCTTACCCCCGAGCCCACAACATAAGTATGGATTGCCTCTAAGGCCTACAACTTATGTCTGGCTTGCTCCCAGGTTCGTTGGCTTCCACACAAAGCAGTATCGCCTCAACCCAACCACACTATGTCGACATATACATAACTGATAACATATATCCAGTAAATAGATACTTATATAACCAATCAACAAACTAATAGGCAGATATACAAATCGTTATCGCACAACGATATCCTATGTACAAGGACTCAGTTCTAACAGATCTATACAACATAGCAACATCCTCTAAACCAGGATACATAACCCAGTCGGTCGGAATTAGTGCCTTTGACCCACAAGTATAGTGAGGAAAACTCACCTCTCAGTCTGAAAAAGATAGTTGAACAGGACACCGATCTAAATATTAGCTCTACCAGTCACCTATACATCAAATAGTGACTAAACTCAAATACAACTCAAAATACCCAAAATGTCCCTTGGTCAAAATTGGTCAAATCCTGGTCAAAGACAAAAGTCAAACGGGCCAACTGAGTACGCCCAACGTACGTGTCTATCAGCTCTCCTTTATAATAAGTTCTTAATCCATTAAGCCCCTTTGTCCAAAATCCAGATTTATTCCTCAAATGATGTTCTTAATCATAAAGTTTCCAACTTTATGGTCTTATATGGCTATTAAGGGCCCAATACCAAAACCCTAACTTAACACAAAGTTCTAACCATCAAAGAGCATGCATGGAGGGATATGAACAATAAAGATTCTATTTTTATCACTCTAGACACCCTAAAATGTCCAGAACGACAATTTATCTGGTCTAGAGTAGCTCATCCTCAAGTGGACCAAGGATATGGGACTAATAAGCACAAAACTCCACCTCTATTAAGATACAAAGGAATAACCATCAAGCTCAGAGCTTTATACCTCCAAATGAAGCTTGATGGCAAGGTACTTCTGGATCCAAAGTGCTTTACTCTTGTAAGATGGTCTCCTCTCTTTCTCCTTCCTTCAAGGACACCACAAAACAGACTTTCAAGCTCAAAATGCACACCTAAGAAAATAGGGTTTGATTGGGACGAAAATAAGGATGTAGGCTGATGAATGAAAGGGTCTCAATGAGTTAAGGATGTTTAAATAGGGTCCAAACTCTAAAAAATTGGGGTTTGAGTCTCTTCCACATACGCCCATCGTACCAAGCATACGCCATACGTACGTGATCAAATCCAGATTTTTCATTTAAATGCCATTTGTGACCAATTTTCAAATAATTCTCATACCAATGGTCAAAATGTAAATACTTAGAAATCAAGGGGTTACAATTTAATACACGTATAATTAAAGTATTGAATATCTGCTGGAAGTCATATGTGAATTATATGCTTATTGCCTAGATTATATGTTTATATATATATATATATATGTGTGTGTGTGTGTGTGTGTGTTGTGCAATGTGCGAACCAAATATGGTTCTATTTTATGTTAGGATTAAATAGATAACATCATATACTAGTATTAAAGGTAGCATTGCTGACAAGATAAAAGAATAATAATACGTAATGCTCTACAGAAATATAAATACACTAGAAATAAGTTAGTGTCACCCAAGAATAGAGTTTGTATTAAAAGTTGGCTGCATGCACTGTAATCTAGTCTAGGGATAAACTTGGACTCATGGAAGATACCTAGCTCAATTAAGTTTGATATTGCGTAGTCTCATTATTAGAATTTGCACAACCTAGGAACAGAGAGTAAAGTTTTGTTCCATGACATTATCAGGTATCGATATACAATAGCTCCGTATGGGATGACCAGAAATGGTGGGTCCCGATCAGGCAACTATTAAGGGTATGTCTGGTTATCCACATAGTAGGTGAACACACTTGATCATTATAGACGGTCTTATGAATTATGTTGCTAGTGGGAACTGATTACTCACAGACGTAGATGAATTGGAAAACCATATTCATCAAATACATTGATGGTGTAACATTCCATTTGAGTTTGAGTAATTAAATAATAAACCCTGTGTAACGCCCGCAGATCCGGGCTAGTTAATTTTGAGGCAATAAGTATCGAAAATGACTTTTCGACAAAAGATTATTTAGAATAAATAATCTTAACCAAGTTGTAGAATGTGTCTCAAGGTTTCCGTACATATAAAGAACGCCGAAATCCGATTTATAATGAAGAAGTTATGACCCGTCGAAGTTTTACGGCAAAACCGGCACGACACCGGGAAGCGTAAATAGTAAATTTATGTTGGAGCGACTTTTATCCTTAGAAATCTAAACTAAAGTTGTATTATATGTTAAAACAAGAACATACAAAAAAAGAACGCCCAAATCTGACTTCGTATGAGGAAGTTATGATTTTTCTAAGATTCGGCTTAGCAGTGCACGACCCGAAACTCGAATTTTAGTTCGAGCGGTTTTTGGCTTACGCGACCTAAATGAGAGTTGAAGATCTCATTAATAGGAACTGAACGGTAAAAATATAGATGAAAACGGAGTCCGTATGTAGGAGTTATGAATTCTTCGCGGTCATTTACCAGTCTAAACGCCTCCTACTGTTAAATTTGAGATCGGTCGAGAATTAGCTGATGGAGTCTAAATGAAAGTTGTAGATCTTGATTTTAAATATGCGTTGAAAAAAAGAATGTAAAAAACGGAGCT